AGGCTACATTTTTCATCATAAGTTTGATCGTACAGCTGGGCAGTATGCTCCTCTCGGGCCCCACGCACACGGCCACACCTTCCCTCACAGCCTCACGGTGCTCTTACAACAGATTTTGTACCGTAAGTTTTGTAAGCAAACCCCTTTTGATCGTTCTTATTATAAATAGCTGAAATGAACATTCTTGTACATAGATCCTTGGTCACTTAACGGGTGGATAGATGATACATAGGCGGATAGATGACAGACAGAGGATTGAAAGCTGATAGACAGGGGCAGGGAAATAGTGGATTCCCAACAGCGTAATTGCCGCATCAAAAAGATCGATGTGTTTGCGACTGCACGTGTGTGCATACAAAATTCATTTTTATAACCGTTGGCCGAGGGCTACCTGTCCCTTATAATAAAATACTCAGGCGCCAGGGCCGGGCTGCTTTCCTGATTCATGTGCTGAGTAAATGGGTGTCTCATGCCACTGGCCCTCGAGTGGCAACACCAGGTCACCGTCCCCAGTGAAGAAGGCAGCCTCCCAGGGAATCCGCCATTTTGATTGGCTGTTTCTGGGGCTTCAGGAAACTCTAGAAGATGTCCGGGGGCGAAGGGACAGCACCTAGGGAGATTTGCCGCGGGACATTTGCTTTTCCATCCGCCCTAGAAACCTGAGTCGAGACCTTGACCGCCGGGCGGGGGTAAGGTGTGCACGGTCACTGTGGGGGTGCTTACTCTCTTTGGTGTTGGGCCTTCTGAGCCGGTGTTCTGTAGAACCTTTTGTTTTCCTGGGTTTAGAGGAGTTGGCGGGCCGAGCCCAGCGTTCTGGCTTGTGTTTCTTTCCTGCAGGTCCGTGGTCCAAGGTGAGCAAAAACTAGAAGGCATAGCTTTGCCCGGCAGACGTAACTGTACAGCAGGCCGGAAATCTGTCTGCTGTCCTCAACTGGCGAGTTTTGCTGTTGTAATTGACTGAAAATGTAGCCCTCAGCAGCAACGCCATCTGTGACATTTGGATGGTGGCTCCGGCCTGCTGGGTTGTTGGGACCCGGAAGGGGGCCCGAAGGCTGCCGTTCTTTATGATCTCATAGCCATTGAGGACTCCTTCCAGGCTTCTCAAAAGTCTCTGCTTTCTTTTTCTTTTCTTTTTAATGTTTATTGTTAGAGAGCATTAGCAGGGGAGGGGCAGAGAGAGAGGGAGAGAGAATCTCACGCAGGCTCCACACTGTCGGCACAGAGCCAGATGCAGGGCTCAAACCCATGAACCACGAGATATGACCTGAGCCAAAATCAAGAGTCAGATGCTCAACCGACTGAGCCTCCCGGGCGCCCCGGAAGTCTCTGTGTTCTAAACTTGGGTCAGTCGACCAGTCTTCCCTCTCCCACCCACCAGTAGGTCTTTCCCCAGGTTTCTGTGTCCTTTTCCTGTGCAGCCATGTCCCCACCCTCTTGTCCCACCAACTTAATGCTGGGGCTGGAGCAGAGAGGGCGGCTGTACTGGCCAGAGAGGCGGTGGCCCATGGGGCTGACTACAGGCTGATGTCCTGCCCTTGCTGATACGGTCCTGGCTGACCTCAAGGAGGCTGCTGGTGGCTCCCCTGTCCCCAAATCACAGTAAGACCTGCCCTGCTTACCCATAGGCTCAGGCAAGACTTTTTTGAAACCAGATGGCAAGAAATGCTTTGTACGCTTTGACAGAAGGTGAGAAGTATAATTATCCTGATATAGATGATATATTGGCCTAAGGTAGTCCCATCATACCTGGCAAGGTTCAGATGGCTTTGGGAAGCCGCCTTTTTTTTTTTTTTTTTTTTTTTTTTAATATTTATTTATTTTGAGAGAGACGGGGCACAAGCAGACGAGAGAGGGGAGAGAGAGAGGGAGAGAGAGACTCTCAAGCAGGCTCCGTGCCGTCAGCACAGAGCCCAATGTGGGGCTGGATCTCATGAACTGTGAGATCATGACCTGAGCCGAAGTCGAGAGTCAGACGCTTAACTGACTGAGCTCCCCCAAGGGGCCCCAGGAGGCCACTTTTGATGGGTGACTCTGACCCGCGGATACAAGAGGGAGAAGGTGATAGGTACGAAGGGGCCAAGTCACTTCCCTGTCTGCATGCCCGAGCTCAGCATCGTGTAGCCACCCAGTAAAGGGCACAGGCATGGACACGGCCCTGTGGTGGTCTGCTCCATGGACGTCCCTGGGCAGGTGCAGAAACAAACCTGTCTGGGGCCCGTCCCCACCGGCTGACGTGACGGAGCACCCCCTTCATGCTTGGGATATTTTGCTTAGCCCTGGCTGTGATTGAACCACCCACTCACTGCCTGCCTGTTTTGGATCTTAAATAGTCCTCGAGACAGAGGCTGAGTGGAAAAGAAACAGAGACGCTCCAAACAAGGGCTCTCTGTCATCTTTATAATTTTGTGTTCTCTCGGTGACAGTTGACCATGTGATAAGACACTGGGGGAGCAATGGGGAAAAGGAGGTCACCCTTCATTATTTTCACACCATAGTTACTGTTAAATTTTATTTTGAAATGATTTCAAACCTCTAGAGAAGTTGTACGTCATAATACAAAGAACTCTCATAGATCCTGTTCCCCGATTCCCTAATTGTTAATGTTTTGCCACGTTTTAAATTGTTTTCACTGCCCGTATACATAGCATATATAAAAACATATACGTTACTTATATCACGTATACATGTGCAGGTCAGATCAGGTTAGGGGTGCTGACCGCCCGGGCAGTCGAAAATCTGAGTATAACTTTTGGCTCCCCCAGAGTTAACCTTGTACAGAGCCTTACTGACAACACGAACCTAACATGAACACGTATTATATACTGTATTCTTACACTCAACTAAGCTAGAGGAAAGAAGACGTGATTGGGAAAGCCATAAGGAAGAGAAATGCATATGCAGTATTGTGCTGTCTTTATACAAAAGAAACTCACGTGTTAAGTGGAATCATGCAACTCAAACCCGTGTTGCTCAAGGGTTAGCTGTGTGTGTACTTGGGCACCCACATAACTGTTATTCTCTTCTCTGAACCATTTGAGTCTAATTTGTAGACATCAAGCCCTGTCTTTAGACCTCAGTGTCTCTTTCCAAGGAACAGGGAGCTTAGCCCGGTGTGTTTAACATCGACGAGGTGCGCGTGTCCAATCTGCAGACCTATTCACGTTTCCCGCTTGGCTTTAGAATGTTCACGTCCAGTCCGGAACCACCCTTTGCGATCGCTTGTGTCTCTATCGTTTCACTCGGAACGCACCTTAACGCCTTGCCTTGCATGTCTTCTGTGTCCTTGACAGTTCTTGAAGGACCCCCGTGGCTTGTGGGGAGCTTCCATGGAACCCCATCAGGTTGTGTGAAGCTCACAATGTTGGTTTGTCTAGTTGACAGTGGGGTCAATCCCTATCGCTCGGCGAAGATAGCGCCTGCGACGTTTCTCCATCGCACAGTTACCGTTCTCTGTAATTAGGAAGTAATCTTCAAAGGAAATTATTGTGAGACCGCGTTAATTTGCTTTTCTCCATCCGTCTTCCCTTGACTGGTTCTGTTGTGTGTTGATGATTCTTGTCCGGTTTTTCCATCATTCTGCATTTATTAGTTGGCATTCTGCTGTTAGGGATGGTGTGCTTTCTCTTCTCTTACGTGTGTGTGTGTCAGTAAGGACCCAGTATTATTTTAGTCCATGGCTCACCATCATTATTACGGGTGTTCATTCAGACTCACATTGCCCCATGGGGGCTGGTTCCTATTTCCTTGGACGTGTCCCCATCAGAGTACTTCCTTGCTTCCTAGGATAAGACGTCCCCTGTCTGCAATCATATGGATATTTGGGACTGGACAGTCCTTCGTTGTGAGAGCCTGTCCTGGGCCTTGCGGGATGCTTAGCGGCATCTGTGGGCTCTACCGACCAGATGCCCACCTGCACATACACACACACACCTGTTGTGACAACCGAAGCGTCTCAGACACTGCCAGAGGTCCCCTGGGGGGTGCAAAAGCTACCCCTCCCAGTCCCCACTGGGCACCACCGAGGAAGCCAAGGAGTAACGCTTCCTTTAGTGAATTTCATGGTCAGTTGCAGAGTCAATTCTTACAATACATTAGGCAGGAAAAGCCTTATAACGTGCTTTATTTCCTCTAGCAACACAAGGGTAAAGGGATGTTGAGGCTTTTTTTTGTCTACGAAGAATTTATTATTTTATTACTATTATTTTAAACAAATTCTATTCTTTTAAAGTTTATTTATGTATTTATTTAAAGACAGAGAGTGAGCACACATGAGTGAGGGAGGGGCAGAGAGAGCACCTGAGCAGGCTCCCCAAGGTCAGCACGCAGAGCCCGATGCGGGGCTCGAACTCATGAACTGTGAGATCATGACCTGAGCTGAAATCGAGTTGGACGCTTAACCGACTGAGCGCCCCCCGGCGCCCCTTGGCTGTGAAGGATTTAGAACATACACAGGAGTAGACAGAATAGTAAGATGAACCCCCTGAGCCTCCGACCAGCCCCCACGACCTGTCTGGCTCCAGCCACGCCCCGTTGACTGCCCCCTGACTATTGTTTGGGACAAGAATCTCATGTAAAAATATCACTTATTTGTAAATATCCTATAATACTTCTGGGTCTGTAAAAGATGAGTGTGTTTTTTTGTTTATTTGGGTTTTATTTGTTTGTTTGTTTGAAATTTTTTTTTCAACGTTTATTTATTTTTGCGACAGAGACAGACAGAGCATGAACGGGGGAGGGGCAGAGAGAGAGGGAGACACAGAATCGGGAACAGGCTCCAGGCTCTGAGCCATCAGCCCAGAGCCTGACGCGGGGCTCGAACTCACGGACCGCGAGATCGTGACCTGGCTGAAGTCGGACGCTTAACCGACTGCGCCACCCAGGCGCCCTGTTTGTTTGTTTTTTTACCAGAACTGTAATCAATCCTAAGTCCTTAATATCCTTAAAAATAGTCCAGATCAGATCAGAAGTGCATTCACACCACGGTCCCGGTGTCCCTGAAAGACGGTGCCGTCTGTGTGCTCCCACCCTGGCTCAGCTCTGGACAGAGGGTCCCAGCCCCGGCCACACTGCAGGCTCCGGCTTGACATTCATGCTGCTGCAGCCCCAGCAGAACCTGGGACAGGTCACCCCCAGCCCCACCCCCCCATGGCAGGTGGACCCGGCTAGGTGCAGGGGGTCCCTTGTCAGGCACCTGCCTTCCTCCCCGTGCGCTTCAGGTTCTTTGCAAAACAAATTCCTAATTACTAATTTCAACTACCACGTGAGTGAGTTTTTGGAGCAGAAGTTCCGGGCCTACGCTTTCCGGGTCGGCACTGCAGAGGCCTTGATCCTGGGCTTACACGGAGGGTGATCTTTTAGGCATGCAGTGGCCCCCGGAAGGAGAAGACAAGCCAGGCGGATTACTGCGGGTTGTATGCCACGCCGAGGAGTTTTATGCATCATCCCGCGGGCCACTCGGCATAAGCCTGTGCGACGGTCCAGCAGTCCCCTTGCTTTGGCAGTGAGGGTGTTTATGGTCAGGATAGGGTGGATCATGCAGTAAGGAGGGGAGAGGGTCTGACTCCAGGACAGGTAGGTTCTAAAGTTCATGTTCTCACTGGGGAGCCAGAAAATCTGTACCTAACTGATGTTTCCAGACAGCTTGGGGAGGGGAGTGGGCAATGGAGCAAATGCGGATATCCCGGGAGCGGAGTCTACACGATGTGCTTGATAACCGATAACTGTTTTTTGTTTTCTAGTGTTTGTTTATTTTTGAGGGGGGGGGAGGGAGGGGCAGAGAGAGAAGGACAGAGGGTCTGAAGCAACTCTCCACTGTTAGCACAGAGCCCCAACGTGGGGCTTGAACCCATGAACCATGAGATCATGACCTGAGCCAGAGTCAGATGCTTAACAGACTGAGCCGCCCAGGCACCCCACTGATAACTGTTTCTTAAGTGGGGCAGCTAAGCGGATTTGCACATGGGTCCCGTTCTGTTCCCTGACAAATTCAGTTTTAGGGACTAGTATTCTACCAGACACGCGGTCCATCCTCTCCCTGTTGGAAGTGTTTCCGTTATTAGAGATGTATTTTAATAGACCGACGTCTAGCAATTTATCCTGAGAAAATAAGCGCACACACTAAGACCACATAGAAAGATGTGCCAAGCCTCGAAACCATCCACGTGGACAGCTGTCAGGACAGCACCGTGTTCCCTACGGCCACGTGGGCAAATACCTTGCAGGCGTTAAAACATCAAAGAAGCATTGTGCCCGGGAGATATTTGTGATGTAATCTGAAGCCACACAAGCCTGATTGCAAAACTCTACGTCCTGTGATCCTAAATGTGTCAGTGTGTCTATTTATAAGTACGCGTGCAAACGAATACTAGAAGGGCATACTCTAGAATTGTAATGGATCTGGAACTGTCACGGGTTGTCAGTGTTTTTCCTTTGCCCCTTAAGTGTATTTTCAAGCATTACAATGAAAACTTATTTTTTTATTAAAAACCATTTTTTAATATTCATTTATTTTTGAGCTAGAGCACAAGGGAGCGAGCAGGGAAGGGGCAGAGGGAGACAGACAGACACAGAACCCGAAGCAGGCTCCAGGCTCTGAGTTGTCAGCACAGAGCCCGACACAGGGCTCGAACTCACGAACTGTGAGATCATGACTCGAGTGTAAGTTGGATGCTTAACTGACTGAGCCACCCAGGCTCCCTGAAAACTTATTTTTATAATAAAAAAAAAAACTAATGTGTCTGTGTTTGTCCATGCGTGTGTGTATGTGTCACGTTACGTGGCCCTGCCCCTCCCCCCTTCACACATCCCGGGAGCCACCGGCATCGTCCTTGCGTGCAGGACAGAGAGGACTCCACTCCTCTTCCCTTGAAGTTGTAACTGAACCGGCCCTCATGGCTGTGTCCCCGCAGCTCCGCGCTACGGTGGGGACAGGCGGCCAGGGCACACCGGTCACGGCTGCAGGGACTTGCATTCCATCTACACCCATGATTCCTGGTCCTGGAAACCAGGGGGGAGCCTTGCAGACAAGGAGGGCTGCCTTGGGGCTGACGGAAGGTCTGAAGAGTCACCAGCAAATCCATTGCTGCAGAGTGGAGGTCACAGCTGGACGTTTCCTGACCGGGAAGAAGGGCCGGTGGGGCGGAAATCTTCTCTTCCCCATGGCTCCCTCGGCCAGCGGAGGAGCAGGTGGGCAGGGCAGAACCAAGACTGATGAAAAGAGCCGTGGCTGTGGCCCAGGAGCCCCGGGGGGGTGGGGGTGGGGGGGAGGAGGAGAGGTGGGCAGACGTTCCCATGGCAGCAGCAACAGGGCCTCCTGATTGGCAGGGACCCGGTGGGAGCCCTTATGTATAGCCCGGCGCACTAGGTGGTACCACCACCCTGTTCCGTGCGTGCGGGGACACTGAGGCCCAGAGACCGCACGGCATCTTTGCTCGGCTCCAAACAGCTGGGATCTCCATCGCTGTCTTCAGTCCACTGAAGGAAGATTCAGCTGTTGTTGTTTTTATGCTTATTTACTTATTTTTTGAGACAGAGAGGAAGAGAGCAAGCTGGGGAGGGGCAGAGAGAGAGAGAGAGGGAGACAGAATCCCAAGCAGGCTCTGGGCTGTCAGCACAGAGCCCAACGCAGGGCTCAGACTCACGAACCTCAAGATCACGATCTGAGCCGAAACCAAGAGTCGGACACTCCACTGACTGAGCCACCTGGGCGCCCCCACTCTTTTTTAGAATAGCTTTTATTTCGATGTTGGGTAAAATGATACCAGTTTATAAAACTGCCTTTGTCAAAGTAATAGGCTATACCTAACCATTCTAGAAAAAAAAAATACAGATGGGCAAGTCAAAATGGATTTTTCCAAATGGATCTGTCTGGTATGAAACAGGCATTAAAGGCTATGGGTAGTCCATCTGTGCTTTGAATCTTGTCACCAGCTTCCTAAGCTGGTGACAGCCATCCAGTGAGGGGGGGAAAGGGGTGCTGGGCAGCTCTGAAATCTGTGGTTGACTTTCAAGAACTATCTTGTGAGTTATTTTTAGAATTTTAGCTCCTTTAGAAAGGATTGGTGAGGACTTAAAATATATTTTCATTGCAACTTTGAAGTTAGCAGGCTATAAGGCAAATTCTTTCTCCTTTTTTTTTAAAGTTTATTTTGAGAGAGAGAAAGAGAGAGCATGCAGGGGAGGGGCAGAGAGAGAGGGAGAGAATCCCAAACAGGCTCCACACTGTCAGTGCAGAGCCCGACGCGGGGCTTGAACTCAGGAACCGTGAGCTGAAACCAAGAGTTGGATGCTTAACTGACTGAGCCACCCCGGTGCCCCAGGGAAAATTTCTTTAAAAGTAAGTTTGACTCCATGTAATTCAACAGGATGATTATTACAATGAATAGAGTCATATAATTACATAGAGCTGCTTCCGTTATCATACCTTATATATCTCAAAGTAGCGCCATTAATTTAGAACAGAACAGGAAAAAATCGTTAGATTTACATTAGTTTTCACTAAAATTCGTCCAGCCTAACCCTGGTTCTGCCCGCGTCTGAACTACATTTAATTTCTCCCAAAGTCACTACCACTGCCCAGTTTGGGGGCTTCGGGCACACCAAAATCAAAAGCCTTTTCACGTAGCGCCTCGGGAGCCATGGATCCCTCCGGGCAGGGAGGTCTCCAGCGCTGGGAAGCATCTTGCGGGCAGAGAAGCAAAAGCAAACAGAGCAGGTGTCCCGGGTTGAGATCCTGACTCCAGCGGCTTCCGCTCGCTTGATGCAGGGAAGCCGTTGTGCATTACTGATCAACTTGACTCTTCATGAATGTTTACCTCCCAGTATTTACAAGACACTTCAGGAGTTTCCGAAAACCGCAGCTTACGTCCTCGTTTTGAAAAATGCGTTGAAACTGGACCCGGAAGGGCTTTGAGCTGAGAAGTCAGTTGATGGAAGGCAAAGCTGGCCTGAGCTCCTGGCTCAGAGCCCTTTTCTCTCTAGTCTCTTGGTTTCTGTGCCAGAGTTTGCCCCCCATCCCCCCACCCCCGCTCTGCTCAGCCCATGCCTCCCGAAGAGGGTGACCTTCCGGGGACATCCCACACTGTGGCCAGGTCTGGGGGCAGAAAGCAGAAAGTACCCCAGTTTCTATTTTCCCCAGGTGGTCTGGGCCAAAGCGAAGAGGTCTTGTGAACTCAGTAGGAGACTCAGCCTGTAAGTCAGCCAGAAGGTGCACCCCGTGCGTGACGTGGGAGTGAGATTGACAGCAGGGAGGTGACGCCCACAGCCTACCTGCTGGGTCCCCGGGGCCAGAAGCCAGGTTCCCTAGGGTGCAGATGGGGGCCACGGAGATGTCATCATGCGCTCAGACTCCTTCCTTTTAGTTTGCCTCTCGCTCTGTGCAGGGAACATATAGAAGACGACAGCAGGGCTCCGGGAACACCGGAATGTTCTATTACCGCTTCAGAGCTTTGATCCCAGCTGCAGCGCCTAGGAGTCAGAGGCTGTGTGGCCTGACAAAGCTTTCCTGCCCCCGCTACCTCTGCAAAGAAGATGCCTTATGCTGGTGACGTCATTATGCCCTCTTTCATGTTAGTGTTTTATTTTGAAAAGCAATGAGCTACCTAGTCTCTTTTACAGCGGAGACGAGAACATTGAGGATTCAGGGGTTGGCTTTTCCTGCAGTTTACCTGGTCATGAAGTTTCCTTTTCCAGCCAGATTCACAAGCCGGGGTCAGGGCCCAGGTGTCTGCAGCCTTTAGACAGAGCCTGCCTCAATCGCGACTCTGTTTTCAGCGTCAGCACACCCCTCCCCCGGGGCAGGGGAGCAGGTGCAGGGGGCTGAGACCTTTCCCAGGGAGGGGGGCTCTCGTCAGCCTGAGCCAGGCGTACACTGTGAAGTCAGTGATACTTGAGAATCCCCATTTCACGATGAGGAGACTGAGGCCGGGGGCGCGGCGGTCACTGTGCACAGCTCCTTAGTTCCACAGCTAGTTAGCAATGAAGCCGGATTGCAGCCTGGTGGTTCCAGAGCACCCTGACCCCCCTTTGCCAAGGGAGGTTGTAAATGATGCTTTCACATCCTTTATTGAGCACTGTGCTTTTCACTTGTGATTGACTCTCCAAGCAGCGGCCATGGCACAGAGA